AGCGTATTCAATCCTCCCCGAAGGGTTGGGGGACGAAAATCCCTTTAAATTTTCTCTGTCTTCCCAACTGGGATTGTCCTGATAAAGGGCCTACATTTAATGTGTGTAGGTCAAAGTAAACATGCACTGAAAATGAAGAAACTATATCGTTAAAAACAAATAAATTCCGAAGGTTCGTCCCCTAAAACCTTGGGGGAGGATCCGGCCTCTGATCTTCAGAGCCATGCGTGCCGAAGCGACGCCTTTTGTCTCCGTCAGGTCTCGCCATCAGGTCAAGTCATCAGAAGACGAAAACGAGAAATATAACATCCCATTCCAAAAAAAAGGAAAATTTGCCTTATTAATTGTCGCGATACCGTGCCTAGTACATCAGCCAAACAAAATAGGAAAGACCGAAAAAAATAGATAAATAAAAAACAACAAGAAGAAGACGAAAGCCTGACATGGTCCCATAGCTACCACACGCGCCTACCAGCTGTTTTACTCATTACATTTAGCATTTTGCTATAAAATAACTTTTTTCGAGGAAACTGCACATCTTAAAATTAATATAAGATTCATTAAAATCATTTTTTCTCCCTACTTCTTCCTGCCATTAGAACGGTTTTTCTTTTTGTATACCCTAAACGAACAAGACACTAGTGACCTACCGGAAGGAGAAAAGATATCAGGGCAAAGTAGACACTTTTTCTCCAACTCTCAAAACTTACCATACTGCATATCGATTTTATCATGAACTAGGAGATAGCCCTAACCGTGAATTTACCCTCGGTTTAGCCACTGATCCTGAATTCAACTGTGGCTTTTTCTGAACTAAAAAAGCTCACTTTTCCTTCATCGTAGGCAGTTGAACTGACGTAAGTACGCGTATGCTTTCTCAGGCTTTTACCCTTTAGCTATTTTTTCATCACGTAAATGACAGCGAAACATCTCGCCGGCTGTCGGACTAGTTACACCGCCTGACACTAACTGGCTCATCTCGAACCATTCATCCGATCATTGTCTTTTTAATGTGAGAAAAGCGCTCAAGTGTTTACTACTTCTTCGCCCGAAGAATCTGACAAGGAGGGTCTTTCAGGATGTGGAGCGTTTTTTAAAAAAGGTGTTCTGAATGATAGGCTCATGGTC